CTTTCATTATCAAAATTGGAATCAAAATAATAAAATTTGGAAACATGGAAATGCGATGAAAGACTTCTAAAAACGTTCACGTCTTAAAACCTCATTTCATTTTAGAATTTTATCAATTCTATCTAGAAACACAATATTTAGCATAATATTTGTAACTACCGCGAACCAAATTTTGAGAATTTTGGTCGTGCGTCGATCGATGCAAGGGTGTGCGTCGATCGACGCAGATTGCGAATTGAACCAGGTGGTTTTAATCGGCGGTTCGGTTCGGTTTAGAGGGAAAACTCTAGGACTTCCCTATAAAAAGGTTATGGCCGCGTTATGGTCGAGATTTTTAGTTACAAAAATTCAAGAGAATTTTGAGAGAGAATTTGAGAGAAAGGAAGAATCATTGTTGATTTCTTCTAGTTCTTGATCCTAAAAGCTCGTGTTTGTGATTGTGACTCTGGATTATGTTTTGGATATGTTCTTCGCGAAGGAAGAAGTAGATTTCGGATTTTGGGGATCAGATGTGGAGTGTTTTTCGCGTTCTTCGCTGATTTCTTATTCTTTTCTTTCTGAAACCAAGGTAAGTGCGTAAAACTAATAAAAATGAGAATAAAAACAAGAATATGGTCTTCATATTTGATACTGAGCATGATAATTTGTATATTTAATGGGTCAATTAATATTTTGTATATATATATATGTGATTTGTGTTGTTTAAAACAATATTTTTAAAGATGACTTTGCATTTGGTGTTTATATAGGATTTATATTTTCCGTCAATAATAAAATATGAGCATGACTCAATTGTTATAATCACTTAATTCATGGATATGATACTTCGCCTCTACAGTTTTATGGGTTCGATAATCCGCCTATAAAACTCTCATTCGACCAAAGATTACTATCACTGGCTAAAGTAGAACACTAAATCATCCCTCGTCAAGCTCCAAATTTGCAACATCAACGTTGTAAGCTTGAATACATAGTCACGGATCGTACCTGGTTATCAAAACTCATTTAATTTATTTTGAGCTTCAAAATACAGCATTCTATGAGAATAATTATCAATATAGGACAATATGCCATTTTCAATGTAAAAAAAAATCGCAAATCCATCATGTCGAGTTTTAAAATATATTAAATTTGTCGCAATTTCGTCGTAAAGTTTTTGATAAACTAGTAGCGTAAGTATTCGGTCAAAAATAGTTTGTAAAAAATTCGTCTCAAAAGTTATAACGGATTTATGGTAAACTCTTTATGTCGCACAATAACATCATAAAGTTATAGCAGAGTTTTGCGGTAAGTTTCGTACTA